CTCGAGGCTGCGGGTAAGTCTTCCCATGTGTCGCCAGGTAAACAGGGCGCGAACCCTGTTCCAGACGCGTGCGATGGGACCTCATTTACCTCGTCTCCGTCTGATGTGATGTGGGCATGTCAGGGCTCTGCGGTTAATAGAGCCTTCCCTGAGTGGTGTGTTTCCGCGGAAAAGGTTGTCGATTTTTCTTGCAAAATGAGGAACTCGTGAATCATCCGGGAGTGAGTGGGTGCGCGCCAACAGAATGCCTTTAGATTCATCTATACTTCTATTCTGCCAAATTCTTGGCGTGCGCAAACTTCAGGCCATGCTATTGGAAACGAATTGCTTCCTCACCGCCGTCTTTTTTTTTTTTGCCTTTGCTCCTGTTGTTTTTTTTCGTCTTGCGCTTGTGCATTTTTCCACAATTTTTTTATACTATTTTTTTTTCGATCTGTGTGTGGGTGTGTTGGGTGTGTTGGGGGGGGGGGACGTGTTTGCATGGTATGTTTTTTTGCCGATAAAAAAAGAAGAAAACAAAAAAGAAAGAAAGAAAAGAGGTCTCCGTCGTCGCGTCTTCTCTCGGCAATTTTTGCCTTGTTTCGATGGAGATAAGTGGGGGGTGTGAGGTTGAGTGGACCCAACTTGTGGTTGCTGGTGATGCCGCGTCGTTGATTGCCGTGTTTCGGGGGGCAGTTGGCTCCGCACCGCCTGACGCTTCTGCCTTGCGGTCCGTCTCTGCGTTTTTGGAGGCACACACTTTTCCGGCTGCGCTGCAAGTTGATTTGCCGCGGGTTTTCTCCACGACCTCCACGGAGTACGCGGAGACTGCCTTGGGCGCGACACGCTCTTCTGGGCTTGACGCACGAGAGGTTCTCAGCGAGCTGCTGGCAATGGACGAGCTACCCGATGGATACGCTCTTGCGGTGTACGTACGACTCATTCGAGCAGCACTCCGCCAGGTGCTTCTGGACACGCTGAGGCGCAAAAAGAGGCTGTGCGCCAGTGTTGAGGAACCGCTGTCACAGACGCAGGCAACGTTGCGTGCGTGGTATCCGGGCGTGGAGAAACGCCTCTCGCAGCTCATTCCAACAGTTTGTCAGCACGATGCAGTTCCAAAGATGGTACGAGCCGTGAATAACTTTCAGGACGACGGCGATGGTGTTGACAGTGAAGGGTCGGGTGAATATGGAGGGGATGATCAGGCCAATGGAACGTCGTTGGTGGAGCCCGGCGCACTGGAGGCCTTGCTGTTGTTGTCATTAGACCTTCTCCATATGCTGGGAGAGCCCCACACAGTAGCTCCGCTTCTGCTGATGGTGAGGGCGAGTCTTGTGGCAGCCCAACCGTACAATGACACGGGCGAGTTTTTGCGCAGAATAGGAACGGACTTGCGTCACTGGGCCAAATCCTTCTGTCGTGTAGAGGACACAAAGACGGACCGGAATGCGGAGGATGCTACCGCGCAAAAGTTGCCGGCCGTGACAACGGCAAGGGACGCGAAGAAAATGGGCGAAACGATTGTGCGAGCTCTGCTGGAGATAGTGCCGCCTGGTGAAATTTTTTCGTATCTTCAAAGGGGCTCGAGCAATGCATTCACAAAGGATTTAATGGACAGTGTCACATACGAGGACAACGAACACGGTAAAGATACAAGCGATGCAAAGGCCCTCGTCACTTTGCACGACTTGAGAAGAGAGAAGGATGGACTGCGAGTTCTTTCGGACGATGATTCTGAAAGCGCAGAGGACAATGATGATGTCTCTTTGACGTCTCTTTCTTTACGTAAAATTGGTGCCATGTTGCTTCTCTACGATGTTATGACGCTTGATGGCTTGTGCGATCAAGAGCTGCAGATATCGCAATCTCCTGAGTCGTTTTTGTTTCTAACAGGGGCAATGGTTTTGGAGAGTCTAAAGAGTTCGTCACTCAGCGTGGTGATGACTGGCCTCTCCTTCCTCGCCACCCTGCTTCCCCACGTGCTTCCGTATAGTATCCTTGCACATGGTGAACTGCATGCCAAGTCGGGACAAATACATGAGCTTGGTCAACAACATTTGACTGCAGGTACGTGGGGGTTTCGTACAAAAAGATTTGAGCTTATCTTTGAGCTGGTGAAGGCCTTGATGAATATTTCTGCAACGTGTCCCTCTGAGTGTCATCGCGAGGTTTCTCGTGGAGTATTCGTTACTTTGCTTCGACGATGTGCCTCTAACTTACGCATGCTTATTTACTCGTTGTTTCTTGTCCTGACGCCGTTTGCGTCCCTTTGCTCGCTAATGCTGCACTCCCTTCGGGTGGAATGGAATGAAAGCCAAACCTCGGCGAGCACGTCGGAGGCCATTTTTCTTCAAGATACACTTCCTACTCTCCTGTTGCGGGCGCAGGAAAACTGGGTGAGGAAACTGCGTGTGGGTGAGGTGACATTTCTGGATCCCTTGATTCAGTCAATTAGTTTCCTTCGCTGCATAATTATCGAGGACCGCAAACGGAACCAGAAGGACGCATTGTTTCGACTTGACCCAAGCCGTGCTAAAGTCGAGCTTCACGGCGAGGCCGCCGAGGACGCGAAGAGTGGCCGCTGGAACTTGTACCTCCACCAGCTGTTGAAGAATGTTGTTCCGCCGCTGCGGACCATGGCGTCGGCTCCCCCTGCTGCCTCCGCGACCGCGATGGGCGTGCTGGGTGGGGTGACCTTGTCGCCGCTGGACTGCTTTGCACTCTCCAGGTGCCTGGACGGTTTGCAGGAGCACGTTGTCTTCACGGGCTAAGATGGGTCTGTTTTTGTATGTGTCTTGTTGTTATTATTACAGTGTTTAGCCCCCCGATTCTTTTTTTTTTGTCTGCAGTGTCCTATACAAGTGCATGCACGTAGGTGTATTTGGCTTCGTGCGCTTTCTCCGTGGCTGCTTATATATATATATATATGTATGTATGTATGTAGGTGAGACCATCATGCTTTTTGTCCTTTTTTTCTCTCTTCTTCTTCCTTTTTATTCTGGCGCAGAATTCACTCGATGATCCGCTCGGATCTTCTCGACGGCGAGGAGTTGGCGATCGCCGGCGAATCACTCCGTATTACCCCTGTGCAGGAGAGGAGGACAAGTGCCTACCTGACCAAGTATGAGATGGTGCGGGTGATTGGGGAGAGGGCTCGTCAGATTGTGAACGGCACTTCTGTTCTTTTGAGTGGCCGAAGCCGCGTTAACGAGCGGAGCGCACTGGAATTGGCGGAGCGGTGTTCCGATGCGTACGCGTTGTCAGTGGACCCTATCTTCATTGCAAAGATGGATTTATTGCAGGGGAGGATACCAATGATAGTTCGCCGGACTTGGCCTAATGGATCAATGGAAAACATTCCTGTGTCTGAGCTGTTGATTGATAAGGTCATGCTTAACATGCAAAACTAACTGCACGTCGTTTAAATCTGTATATTTGCCATTTGCCGTTGGTCAACGGTGAAGATGCAAAACGTATTTCCTTCCCTTGTCCTTGGGGCTCCCTCCCCCCGCCCCCCGCTGCTTTGCCGTTCCCGGTGGGTTCATCTCTATCAATGACGGAGCACGATCAATTAAAAAGATTGTTTCGATGTATATATATATGTGTCTCTTTACGCGTTTTCTTCGTCTCTTTTTCTTTCCCTGTGCGCGTGTGTGTGGCGGGTGGAACTAAATACCCAAAAAGGCTCCTAAGGGACATAATGCGGCGTGTTTTGCGAGGACTGAACTGGGTACAGTCTCGCGTGGCGCAGGTGTGTTCGCTGCGGTACATACAACTTCGCGAGGATCTGCGCAACATCGCGGTGATTGCCCACGTCGACCATGGAAAGACCACGCTGGTGGACAGTATGCTAAAGCAGTCGGGCACTCTAGTGGAGGCCCGCAACCGCGTGATGGACAGCAAGGACCAGGAGAAGGAGCGGGGTATAACAATTCTCGCCAAGAATACTGCCGTTTTGCTGCCCAAAAAAACTCCCAGTGAGCCACGGCGTCGCATTAACATTGTGGACACCCCAGGCCACTTGGATTTCTCGGGGGAGGTGGAACGCGCCCTTCAAATGGTAGAAGGAATTGTTCTGCTGGTCGACGCCAAGGAAGGGGTTCGGCCTGGTACTCGGTACGTTCTCCGCAAATCCCTCAGCCTTAACCTCAAACCGATTGTTTGCCTCAATAAGATTGATAAGGACGACACGAACATTAAAAAGACGGAGGAGGCCATACAGGACCTTTTCCTGGAGACCGCTGAGAATGAGGACCAGCTTGAGATCGATTTCATGTTTGGATCCGGTCGTGATGGCTACATGAATGATACACCAAAGAAGGAAGGTACGCTTGAGCCTCTCTTTGAAAAAATATTCAGCATTGTGCCAGCACCCCAGGCCAAAAAGGACGGCGCCCTACAAATGCTTGTGGCCCAAGTCGAAGTTGATGAAGCTACGGGGCGTAAAATTGCTATTGGCCGCATTTTTAACGGTACTGTCTGTGTTGATGATGTTGTGACCGTTGCTTTGGAAGACAAGGAGGTGGACGCACTTGTCAAAAATATTCAGCTCTTCGTCGGGGTTGAGAGGGACAACGTTCAAAGCGCTTCTTACGGTGATATTTGTATTCTTACTCTGCAAGAACCCATTGGCGAGAAGGTGCCTATAAAGATTGGGAGTACCATCTGCCAACAAGGCGTGGTGGACCGATTACCGTATCGCAAGCCCGATGAGCCCACCTACAGTCTTGTGTTGCAAGCCAGTGAAGCACCGTGGCGGAAAAAAGAAGCAGACGAGCGAATGGGAACTATTGCGGCGCTGCAAAAGCGGCTGGAGCGTGAGGCGATGATAAACACGGCACTGCAACTTTCAGGTTTGGGGACTCCACACATTACATTGATGGGTCGTGGTCCGCTTCATCTTTCTGTTATTGTCGAGGATATGCGGCGCGAAGGGTATGAATTTGAGATTCAAGCGCCCCGCATCCTAACAAAGGTCATAGATGGAGTAAACTGTGAGCCGTATGAGCGAATACATTTGGAGTTTCGCGATGCCCTTGTGTCGGATGTCGTGTCCTTTTTAAGCAGCAAGATGGGGGAAATTGGAGAAATTACACAGCTGTCGAATGGGCGTGTGATAATGGATTGTGTCATGCCCGTTCGCTTCATGTCTCAAGTTCCCCTGCGCTTCCACACGCTGACAGGGGGGGACGGTGTGCTTAACCACAGCTTTGAGGCATACCGGCCCATGACCTCCGTCGACACAGCACGCGAGACAGGCGCGCTGATTTCCGTCGAAAATGGTGAGGCGACAGAGTGGTCGCTCGCTGGACAGGCGCAGCAAGGCCGTTTCTTTGTCGTGCCGGGCGATATTGTCCACTATGGCCAAATAGTGGGGGAGAACAGCAAGACACTCTATCAAAATCTTGGAATAAATGTCTGTAAGCGCAACGAGCAGCTTGGCGGGCTGCGTTCGAACGCCAACGACAAGTCAAACCGAAGGAGGTCCTCCTTCACCGCATTTCGTGCCACCTTTGAGGACTGTGTTGCATGGGTTACGGATGACGAATTGGTTACGGTGACACCAAAATCCATTCGCATGCGGCAGCCTAATTTCAATGGCAAGACAACAATGCGGAATGCTGCCAAGAAGAACTAACTAGTGGGGTTGGTTCCACATTTTCTTTTGTGTTTTTGTTACCCACTTTTTTTTCTCCCTTTTTTTGATTTTCTTGACCATGGCGTCTCATGCAGTTGAAGATGCCCGCGTGCTGGGTTGGTCACAGGAGTAACAGTGAAGGAGCAGGAAAGCACAAACTCAAACATACACACGCACACACACAACAAAAAAAAAATCTTCCTAGGAAAATGTAAAACTGAAAAAAAAAAAAGGGAAAATCCATGCACAATCCGAAGTGTTTTGTTTTTCTTTTGTGTGTATGGCTATTCGTCACAGAAACGGGATGCGTGCATTTGTGTGGTAGGAACTTTTGATGGTGATGGTGCGCTCTACCGCACTTTTATTTTTGTCTTTTTATTTTCTCGGCATGGGCTTGTGCATGAAAAACGTTGTCCTCTTCTTCTTTTTTGCTGTGTGCTGTTTCACGCCCCCACTGCCTTCTAAAGCTCTTCTGTTACCCCCGCAATCATCCTGACACTTGCGTCCTCCTTTTTTCTCCTTTTCTCTCTCTCTTTTTTTTTGTGGGTGCTTGGGGGCTCCAAGCACCGAAGGGATCCATCATGTTTCAACGCACGCTTCCATCGCTTTTTCTGGCGACGTCCCCGGCCTGGATGAAGGTTATGGTGGGGGTGAAGCGCGTGGTGGACTACACGGTCAAGGTACGTGTCAAGGGCAACAAGGTCCAAAGTGAGGGGCTCAAGATGAGTGTGAACCCGTTTGATGAGATTGCCATTGAGGAGGCCATTCAACTGAAGGAAAAAAAACTTGCGGACGAAGTAATTGCGGTGACGATAGGCAACAAAAAAGCGGAAGAGGTTCTTCGCACGGCAATGGCCCTTGGATGCGACAAGGCTATTCATATTGTCACTCCCGATGGAGAGGCAGAAGGACTTGAGCCCTTAGCGGTGGCAAAGATTTTCCAGAAGCTTCACGAAGAGATGAAGCCGGACATGTGGATTTTGGGGAAACAGGCAGTGGACGGCGACCTCGGAACCACACCGCAGCTACTGGCGGGACTTCTTGACATACCGCAGGGAACCTTCGCCTCAAAGCTCGAGGTCAACGATGGAAAGGTGAGGGTGACGCGCGAGATTGATGCCGGTCATCAGATTGTCGAGCTGCAGCTGCCTTGCGTTATCGCTGCGGATCTCCGCCTCAATACGCCTCGTTTCCCAAAGCTCCCCAACATTATGAAGGCACGAAAAAAACCCATTGACGCTCGCGATGTGTCTTCTTTAGGTGTGGACGTGAAGCCGCGGCTGGCGAGGGAGGCGGTGATGGAGCCACCCCCGCGAAAGGCCGGCATTAAGGTAAAATCTGTGGAGGAACTGTACGACAAGCTGCACAATGAGGCCAAGGTAATTTAGAGTCAGCTTCGGCACGGCGCAGTGAAGGCTACTTGGGCGGACTGGAGCGCGACAAGGCGGCAGCAATAATGATACCCCATCCCTTTAAAACACCCGAACACGCAGAAAGGGGAATATATATATATATGTATATATGTATATATATATATATATATACAAACAGAATCACGATGTATATGCATTGGTTTAGATGTATACGCGGAGCCTTATACGGTTGAGGGCGGGGAGCAAAGGGATTTAGGGATTCAGTTTGCTGTTAGGGTGGGTGGACAGAGGAAATCGTTTAGGGCGAGCTTTTTTTTTTTGTTTTTTTTGGAGGGTGAGGGTGAGTGGTGGT